GCGGTGAAGATGGTCTCCTCGTTGTTAAACTCGTTGAAAGTCCAGGGCTTGATGTCGATCTCTCCAGGCGTTGCCAGCTGCAGGTCAAACTGAGGCTCCAAGGTGTCGTGGTAGATCTCGAAGTCGGCACAGAGTGGTAGTAGATATTCTCCATGCATGCCCATCAAGGAGGGAACCCACATCCCATCAGCAAATCGAATCTTCTCCGTCGCAAAGTCCAGGGAGATGTTGAGTTGCTGGATGATGGGTCTGCCGCACAGCATTGGAGTTTCACCAGGGACCATGAACACCTGTACAAATCCAAATCGGCCGTTGACAAACAGCGGCATGCGGACAACCCAGCGTGACATGCTGGCCGCATCGCCTCCAAAGTGGAATTTCCTCTCGCACCTGTAGAAGAGGATCTGCTTGATTGGGAATCCCAGCTGCTCCAAGTGCTTGATGTAGCGAACCATCGGCCCATAGCCACATAGGAAAGCTGAAGCACCAGGATCAAGCAGAGCAACGTCGAGCCTCTCGGTGCCGTTCTTGTCAACGAACGTCACCATGGCATTCTCATCATGTCCATGTCGAGCCATCGACTCAGTTGCAGGCCGTTTTGAACCTTTAGATTTGATGGGGCAGTTCGCCGCAAAGTGTCCAGGTTGACCACATCGCAAACACTGAAGCATTGCTGCAGCTTTCTAATTTGGTTGAGCCGCCTTCATGGGTGGCTTGTCGTACTTGTAGATGTTGGATTTTCCTTTCTTGCTTTTCCCTTTTCCACCACCTTTGAAAGACTTTCCCTTTGGGGATCCACCTCCTGATGACCTTGTCGGCGATAAAGTCCCGAGAGACAAGTTGCCAGCTGATGGATCTGATAGTGCCACCACCGGCAGGAAGCCGCGCGACAATTTCAAGTCGCTGAATCTCTTTCGAGCATCCAAGTAGGCTGCAAAAGCCTCATCATAGGCCTCCACGTCGAAGGACTCCACCGGCTCAGCTGCAAGTCCATCAGGGTCATTCTGGTAGTAGCCGAACTCAGCCTCATAGTCACCAGTGTCGTCATACTCATGGTCGTAGACCTCGTCGGTGTTGAAGTCCTCCCCATAGTGCCAGTAGGCATCATCGTAGTCTTCCCAGTCCTCCATGTCATAGTCATCCTCAGCTGCATAGGCGCGTCCACCTTTTCCACGTTGCCATCGTCGATCAGGATGCCCAAGCGTAGACTGCTTGTAGTCCTGACCCAAGATGAGGTAGAGCGCTTCTGTCACCTTCGTCAACTCCAAAGTTGGTGCACGTAGGTTCACCAGCTGCTTTTGCTCCCGCGTCAAACCACACTGACGCAGAAGATGCCACCCCTGCACGGAGGTTGGCAGGGTGACTCCATGCTTCTCCAGTTTCTTGTTCATCTCAGAGTGGCTAGTCACGTAGCTGAGAAGGGTTTGTCCTTGTCGTCGTTGTAGTCCAAAGTAGCTGTCGAAGTCAGAAGGTAGCTAGACTCTGGAGTCATACTGGAAATGTCCGTCCAAGATGGCGATCACTGCTTCGAAGGACTCAGGCTTCTCCGCGCTCTCCAGGTCGAAGTCCTCCAAAAGTCTCCAGGCCGTTCCAGTCAAGCTACCGATGATATTCAGCAAAGATTCACCAGCTCGCTTTGTAAGGGTCATCTTGCGGTGGTAGATATGAATTCTCTTCCTCCACTCCTTGTAGTCTGCGGGTTGCCCGGTGAAGAGTGGGATGAAACTATCTCTGGTTGAAACGTCAGAGATTGGAGATGAAGATGCCGATGCCATTCTTCAAAAAGTCCAAGGTGATCTGGATGTAGCACGAGCCAGCCGCGCCAATCAAGTCAAAGAAGTAGGGCTCGGCCGTCAGATCTCAACGTAGAGCTCTGCAAACAGGATGCAGTAGGGCTCCACCAGGCCACAGAAAGTGGCTCCGCTACCAATGTAAGATTGGTGAAGTTGTCAAAACCAATCTGCAAGCAAGGCTCCCGAAGTCCCCGCTCGGCGCAAAAGCAAAGGTGCCCCCTTTTCGAAGGCTATGGCGCAGCCAGGTTGGTACCATTACCCACCCTAGTGGGATTTGAAGGGGAAATTGGGCCACATTAGCCACATGTAAAAACAACATGTATGTATGAAACCAGGGTGCACGGCGTACAACTCACAATTAATATTATAGAATTAATAATAAAATATATCAAATTTTTAAATATTATTTTTCAAGGTTGTTTTGCCAATATTATATATATATATTTCAAATTTATCCGATATATGTGGAATATTTATAATTCAATTATAATAAATTAAGAATATATATATTTCTTCAAATAATTAGAAAAAAAATCGAAATTTATCAGCAATGCAATAAAATAATTTTCTTACATTATATCAATCCATATTATTAATAATATATTAATAATAATATGATTATTAATTAAATATTAAAATAAAAAATATATATAAATTTATTAATTTATATATATATATTTAAATATAAAATTATTATTTTATTTAAAAATTTATTCATAATATCAAATTATAAATATATATACACCATATATTAATTAATTTAATTATATAATTAAAATAATAAAATAAATATAATATATTAAATATAATTATATATATATGTTTTAATTAAAAAAAACATATTCAAAAATACAATTTTTAAATTATAAATCAATAAATATATATATATAAATATATTAATTATAAAAAAACAAATAATAAATTAATTTAAAATTATTTTATTAATTTATTTATTTTTATTATTATAAATTATTTTATTCTTATTTTCAAATAATTATTATTCAAAATTACAAATATATTAAATTATTCCTAAAATTAGTTTATTTCAATTTTATTTTTTAATATAATAATCAATATTTATATTATAATAAATAATACTATTATATCTATCTAAATTAAATTCCTAAATTACCATAAATTATTAATTATTCATCATATATATATATATATATACATAATAATTTAATTTATAAATAAATTAAAAATAATCTTTTATAAAATTAATATATACATATATTTAATAAATTATATTTAAATCTTAAATAATATCTAAATATTATTATTTTATCAAATAAAAGAATAATAAATAATATCAAAATATACCAAAATAGAAATCTTAATTTATTTTTTAAGATCTATAATTTGTATGTGGTTTCAGCTTATAATTTTTAATTTATAAATATATATATAATATATTTAGGAAATTGGGGAGTATGGGGAATTAATTAGGTTCATTTGTTTTTGGATACCTGTATTTTTAATATAATTTTATTTTTGAAATTGATATTTTGTAGCCAAATGATAATTGAGGCCCATCTGTCAAGGAGTGTATGGCTTTGCCATCAAAATGACCCTGTCGTGCATCTCCAGCTTCAACAATGCACGTCACCAGCCCGGTATTTCCTGAACGAGCCGTGCGGCCTGCACAGTGGACAAACGCAGTTGCATCTACAGGGAGGTCGTACAAAATCACATGACGGACGAGTGGAAAATCCAGCCCGCGCACAGACATATCTGTGGCAACGAGGACTTGTGCAGTGCCACTGCGAAAACATTCTGACACCTCTTGAACACTTTTCGAATTCTCATGTAAACTCAGAATTTTGAATCCAGGTTTTTCACTTGCAAGGAGGACTTGAAGATGCTCAACCTTAGCGGGAGATGCTGCAAAAATCAAAGTTGCACCATTGACACACTCCAGCTCCTCCTTCTCAGCTTCCGCTAAGATCCACAGGAGTTTTGCTGTTTTCGCATCCTCATCACCTTTAAAGTAATGAAAGCATTGCCTCAAGGTCGGAACCAGGACTCCCGTGTGGCCGACCTGCTGCATGCTCGGAAATCGTGCCAACAGCTCCTCTTCTCGCTGATCCGTCAGGTGAGCCATCGCTAAGAACAACTGCGAGTCCATAGACCTGGCAGCTCGCAGAAGTTCCTCCGCCGCGCACCTTTGATTGGCCAAGTCCAGATAAGACTCATGCACCTGGCTCTCACACAGCAGGAGATCTGCTTCGTCAATGGCCAACATGTGAATCTTGGAGGGCATATGCTTGGAAACAAATGTTGGAGTTCCCACAAACAAATGACGCCCGCCAATTGCGTCTACTGGGCCCTCAAAGTCTTTCGAGTAAAGCTCAATGGGCCGTCCATTCTTCTTGTATCGCTTCTGGCAGCTTGAAACAAGATGCTGAGCCACTGCAGCTACTTGGTGGGCCAGCTGGTCAGTTGGTGCAACAATTACTGCAGTTGTCGACTCAGTCTCAGTCAGAAGCCTCTGCAGAATGGGCAACAGAAAAGTAAAGGTTTTCCCTGAACCCGTTTGCGCACAAACCAACACATCACGCCCACTGAGTCCCAAAGGAATGGCCTTGGCCTGGATGCTGTTGGGTGCCGAAATGCCTAAACTTTGTAAGCCACGGACCAAGTCCGGATGCACCAGCTGTTTGAAAGTCAAGCTGCTTAAGCTTTTCGCCATCGCATTCAGAAGACATGAAGCCTAGATGACCCAGGACACTAACTAAAAACAAAAAAAACATGAAGATCCACCACGATCCATGATGTGCGGTGCTTCCGCAAAGGATTTTTGGCTTTCTGGAAAACACTCGCAAGAAATCAAACACGTGCTTGCCAGACATGCGACCAGATCATACATCAATCATAGTAAATCCAGTGAATAGTGAACGGACATGGACGGACCGACCTACATGATTGTTGGCTGATAAATTGAACTAGTCCTTCCAGCCAGTCTGGACCTAGTGATGGACTGTGGTTTGGAGTGTCACTACTGAGCCGACAAACATCACATAAACACAACCGCACACACAAACGCACTTGACGTTTCGGTAGGTTCTGATTGGAATCATTGGAATCATTATCGGCTTGAGCAGTAAAGTAATGACACGTAATCACATGGTAGGTGGAGAGCACAAGACTCTTGTAAAAGTGAAGTACCAGTACCAAGGTATCAACCGTATCGCGCGCAAGCTGTTTCGGCTAGAACCTGGCTCGTTCTCTGCTTGGCTATCTGGCTGAGCCCCCTCTGCCCTGGCACTATTCTTGGCGCGTACAGTTCTGACGCATCTGGTGAAACGCCTAAGTACAGAGTCAACGGAAGCCCGTGGTGAAGCAGCCTGGCAGCCTGACAAAGGAAACGAGGCAGCAAGGCAGGGCAGCACTCAATGACAAGCTGAGCATCGCTGAGCATCTGATCTGAATTGATCGTTTCATTCGTTTCATCTAGTTCTGATCTGATCTGGCCTCGGTTCCCTCGCCCGTCGCCACGCTCATCTAGTTCTCTTGCTCATTTCATCCAGCTGTTGGATCTGGGATGGCCACCGGGTGGTTTTGGATATGAAGAATGTGTGAAAAACCGCTGGCTTCTCGTTCCAAAAATGCAGAAATCACATGAAATCACAAGACAAATTGGCAGAGACTGCTACCGAGGTCACAACCCAACTCGTCTCCCAGTCATCTTGCTCTGGACCCTTAGTTTGGACTTCAATATTACAATCAGTGGAATCAGTGGAATCAGTGGAAAGGGTTTTGAATGTGTTGAGCGAGGTACATCCTTTGGAAAAATGCTGATGCTCTCTGATTCCATAATGTAAGATTTGATTTCAGGCACGACGCGAACAAGGGCTATGTAGCCCCATGCTGTGTTTGAGAGTGCAAAAACTCACAAACTTCCTGCTAAGGTCGGCACACTGGCGCCTCCTTCTCTATATGCAGAGTCTTCTAAAGCCCGCAAACCCTGCCATGTGCTCCGTTCAGCAACACTCAACAGTTCATACAAGAAGAAATGTGAACGTTGCCAAAAGATTGAACAAATGACATATGGGTAAGGTCTCAAGAAGCCGCACTATGACAAAATTCAAGACCGTAAAGCACAGCTGTTTCTGTAGCTTGTTCCAGTTTGTCTTCAACAGGCATCAAAACACTCGTGACACGCTTGTACTTGGCTTGTACAATATGTATAACTATATATAACCTCCATTATTATTATTATTATTATATATATATATACGTATATGTATATGTATATGTATATGCAAATGCAACATAACTGATTACATTGTGTAATATACATATAGTGCATCATACATACTTATATTAGCATTGATTATAAATCACATATATATATACATATTTATGACAAGTGCCAGGTATCATCACTATTATCATCATGTCTTACCTACCATGTATGGTATCACTGCAAGTCTTTCTTGGCCTGCAAGGAGGCTTCCTGTGGTTCTTCCTCTTCCGCCTTCAAGGCCTTCAATCCTCTACGAGATCCACGTGGCGTTCCGTCTCCCTGCCAGTGCGGACAGGGGCATCTCAGTGCAGAACTACACGACATGTTACATGACCCAGGCACAGGAGCTATATAATGATTACAATTATATCATAAATTATCAAAATCGTGGGGAATCTATCGGCAGTTTTCCTGTCCATCCTTCTACCAACCAAGGGTCCAATCTGCAACGCAAGGAGCAACGGTCGGCCCAAGAGCCTCTCTTCTTCGGCCATGAGGCAGCTTGCCAGTCCTGCAATCTGACAAATCATGTCCGCAAATCTGAAATCCAAAATGGAAAGCTATCTAACCCGGAAACTCCCAAATGTTTCAACTTTTGCATGTCTGACTATATCCTCGCTTTCCCTTTTCATATAAATCCAGAATGTTTTCAGGCCCTGCCGTAGCTTTAATAGATGTCGTCCTGGATTGTGGTCTGTCTAGCTCGTCAAATTCAATGTCATCCTCTGAGCCTTTCGTTGGAAGGACGGGAGGTGAGAAAAAGGATGGGTCAAGTTGCCACAGTCTTTCAACCGGCAGTGAATCCACTGACAATGAATAATCGGCCATCATGGTCATTGCTCACACAATACTCACCACAGCAACTTCCAAAACGATTCATGATTCGCCCTTCCTTCATCCTTGACACATGCACACGCTGACGAAAAGCATCGCTATTTAATAACCAGCTCTTGGAGGAGTCATCAAGAGCTTCAAAAGGTTGCAACGGTTGCAACTCTGGCCCTGGCCGCTGAAAACGTTCTCGGTCTTCTTGGCCCTCAGACCAGCATTGCACACTTCAAACAGTCCCTTTCTGCTTGAGCTGCAAACAATTAGGCCCTATCACTCTAATTACTGTAGATGTACATAGTCAGGCATCTTTGATCCGATTTCTGCTTACTCAACTGTTCTGAATTGAATGGACCTGGTGTGATCACTGGATTTCGCTGCTCACCGGGAAATGTACCACTTAGTCAACTCCAGCTTGGGCATGGCACCTTGCAATCGGATCACCCAATGGCTTCTTTAAGATCGTTGAGCCCTTCAGCCTGCCATGATGCAACAGCAGCAGAAAGCAGCAGCTTTCCACTCCTTGCCGTAATGGTGACAAAGTGTGAAAAAATGGGCTAAATTGCAGGATCTTCAGCTGAGAATGCGACATGATGTCCACTCAAATCTATGGTCATAGTCTATGGTCTATGCAATTATGTCATATTATATTATGATATATTATATTATGTCTATGATTTCAAATCCAAGTGATTAATTTGCAAAAAAATGCAGAACTGGAACTGCTCGTGCCTGCGGATTTCTTTGGGAGTCAGCATTCTGTACTCCCCGGCCTGTGCACTCGGTAAGTTGTGGCACAAACAGCACAAAAGTCCCAGACAGCACAGCACTGCTTTGCAGCCTAAAACGTGACAAGACATGGCAGCACCTGGATTCTGGATTGCAACTTGATTTTGGACTTAAGAAACATCGTGCTAGACGCCTTGAGCTCTTTGTCAAGTCTCACCAATCCAATCCTGAGGTTCGTTGGATTCCTTCCACACCGATTACAACATGTTGAAGTTGAAGTTGAAGATGTTGAAGTCCTCTGTGCCCAGTGAAATCCCATGAGCTACCGTAGAGTACCAATAGGCTACCAGGCTACCAGGCTACCAATGAGCAAATCCCTGAGCTGCCAGCTGGGTGCGCTTGACTGCCTCAGGCAACTCGTCTGACTCGTCTAACTCGTCTGACTCGTCTGACTCGTCTCCAGCACACTCTTCGAGCCGTCTCCAGCACAGGGCATTGAGATCATTGAGGACACCACTCGGATGGGATGCCCAATGAACTCAAACATCCTGAGGATCTGCCTGTACCTCAGACATTCCGCACTGCAAGCCCTGAAAGTTTGGCAACATGGCCATATAATGCCATATAATGCCATATAATGCCATATAATGCCATATAATGCCATATAATGCCATATAATGCCATATAATGCCACACATCACGCTAGACTAGAAACATGTTGAAAGCCAAAACATGCAAAAATATGCAAACATTATGCACCCAGTTCGATCCATGTGTTCAACAATACACACGTGCACACAGGAAAATTACACATGCTCAATGCTCAGCGCACTTTCCTTCCTTCATGACAAAGCCCAAGGTTGCCATGCCGAGTCGTCGATCATTCTGCAATACCTAAGGATTTTTGCAGAATCTGATGGGGCTTGTGACATTGCAGTTTGTATTGATCACGAGGATCAGTAACAATGCTGCAACATACCGCATGTATCCCCCCAAAAAAAGAAAAGAATTGGCATGCACCCCAAATCCCCAAAGTCCTCAAAGTTGCCCAAATGTAGGGAAACGAATGGATTTGAAGCAGAAGCCCATATTCAAAGCTCAGAGCCATGTAAAAACTCGACCACTTTGAATACCTTCCATCCATGGTATTCCAGCATTTAAATATATTTACAATTCGAAGATTTAAAATTTAAAGGTAATCAATATCAATCAATTGAATCAGCTTGCAGTTTGCATGAATTCAGTTCAATTGGAAGTAGGCTCGAATAGGCTCAAACAAAGACATGCAGGTCCAGTGCAGGTATTGTTTCTGGCCAACCAGCTTTCCATCGCCCAGGGCACTTCCAGCTCTTCCAGGGGAAGACATGGCCGCCCTTCATCAGGCAAATGTAATCCAGTTTGCAGTGCCTGGAACACGACATCAAAAGACCAAGCATGCTGCTGCTAAGCCGGTGCCAGTGACGTGGGAGCGGTGCAATGCTCTGGTAGGAGCGTGAGATGAGAATAAGCGTTTGAGGTAGCAGCTCCACAATGGCAAGCGGAGTCGGTTGGAGCGCTTTTGTAAGTATCGGTTGTTTTGTTGCAGTCTTGAGAAGAATTAAATGGCAAGCGTCGTGGGATGGTGCTGGGTTGGCATGCTTTGCGGTAGTTGCCAGTCAGCACAGTTTTGGACTCCCCGTTGGGGGGTCAAACAATGGGGTGCATCAATACACTAAATCTGTTGAGTTTTTTTTCAAAGGTGATGGCTGAAAAATGATAAGCGGCAAAGTGCTGGAACTGGCTGGCATGCCTGGCAAGACCTATCAGAACAGTCTTCCGTCCACTGGATAAATGTTCTTTGTTGGGATGCCGCCAAACCTATGCGTTGTTTGACAACAATTCTTTGTTGCTGCTTGAAGTATCGAGAGGAACTACAGTATTGTTTGGTCCTCTGGAGCCTACTGACAACTTTTAGGCAGACATTGCCAGTGTCAATGCGTTTGCCGGTTTGCGTCTCGGTTCTCTGGCCAATCTTGTTTGATGATGTCCTTTCACTGTCTGAATTTCGATGCCAAGGTTGGGGCATCGCGGCATCGCCCACTCATCAATTCAACACGGTTCAACACGGTTCAACATGCTCCAACTCCATGAAGTATCCGAATCATCCGAATCCGAACTCTCCAATCCCCTTGGTCCTGCATCCGCTGGCTGTCCGGTGCTCCGTTGTAGACTGTCACCTCTGGAACAGACTAGCTCATTCTGCATCTCCAAGCTTCAACCGGTTATGTCATGTTATGTCGATGCCATGCCTGCCATGGAGATTTCTGTCACGTGTCATGTGTACCACCAAGGATCCTGGCACGGTAGCGCTTTGGCATCTCGTAGCGCGGATGCGCCTCGCGGCAAGCATGCAGATGGGGTATGATGGGGTCTCCAAAAATCAAATCCAAAATGATGCGGGTAGCGGTAATTGGTGGGGGGGGTGGGACCCTGGTTTAATTTCTTTAATTAAACGGGGTCCCCTGCAGTATGGTTTTTTCCAATTTTTTTCAGTCAAACATAACCTCCGTTTATTTTTAACATAAGAAATTAATCCAGAAAAATCCAGTTAAGGTCCCACCTAGCATCCCCCAGCTAAAAATTAAACAAGCTACTCGGCAGTACCTGGTTTAATTTTACAGGATCATTGGGTTGATTTTGTTTTGCCGAGACCAAATATTAAACCACCTGGTTCTACACATGTCAGTGAGACTTGGTGTAAAAACAGTTGCGCCCACCATTTTTCCCCCCAGGTGCGTGAACCAACTGAACTTTCTCAAAATTAAACCCCATGGTTTAATTTCAGCTGTTTTAGCTCATTGTGCTGCCTCGTGTTCCGCCTCGGGATACTGCAGCCATGGTTCCTGACACGTGTCCTAGCACAGCTCCGTGAAGACGATCCGGCGTGGACAGCAAGGTTCTTGCACAGTTGGGAACAGCATTGCTGCAGCCCAAATGCTCCATCTCAAGCAGAGCAAGTCCATGGGAAAGGCGCTGCGGGACCATGGTAAACTGTTTCTATCTGTTTCGGGCCCCTTGCGTAATCCCAGATCAGGTCAGAATAATTAATCAAGGGGTGGGTGAGTCCATACGTACTGAACATTCATTCATCAGGACACCTTTGGCACCATAATATTCATGGGATTTATGGTCACCAGAATAATTAAACAAGGGGTGGGTGAGTCCACATGTACTGGGCATTCAGGATCAGTTCTTCCATTGGGGCACCCCCAACACCATAATATCATACAATATCCATGGCATTGATGGTCACCAGAATAATTAAACAAGGGGTGGATAAGTCCACATGTTCTTGGCGTTCATAAAGATTCATGTATTGGGATATCTTTGGTGTTATCATGATTCATTGTTTTTTCTTGAATTTTCATCTTTGGTCATCACAAGGGAAGGAACCTGATGGAATCTCATTGGAGTGCAAGTTGATCATGGTGGAGAGAGAGATTAATTATTCTGACCTGATCTGGGATTACGCAAGGGGCCCGAAACAGATAGAAACAGTTTACCATGGTCCCGCAGCGCCTTTCCCATGGACTTGCTCTGCTTGAGATGGAGCATTTGGGCTGCAGCAATGCTGTTCCCAACTGTGCAAGAACCTTGCTGTCCACGCCGGATCGTCTTCACGGAGCTGTGCTAGGACACGTGTCAGGAACCATGGCTGCAGTATCCCGAGGCGGAACACGAGGCAGCACAATGAGCTAAAACAGCTGAAATTAAACCACGGGGTGGGTCACATCTCAAAATTAAACCAACTCAACTTTCTTCAGGATCTTAAGGAGGTGGGTGGACCCCCTGTTTTCGTAAGATTTTTTAAATTAAACCAAAATTACTCTACTTCGTGTGATCCCCACCATGACATGTCAGGACGTATATTTGGACATATATTTAGTATATTCTGACATCCTATCTGACATATATTCTGGCATATATTCTGGCATTCTATCTGGCATATATCCTGACATTCCACCTGGCATTCTATCTGGCAGTCTATCTGGCATTCTATCTGACATATTTTCTGACATTTCATCTGACATATATTCTGGCATTCTACCTGTCAGTTATTCTGACATATATTCTGGCATTCTATCTGACATATATTCTGGCATATATTCTGGCATTCTATCTGGCATTATATCTGACATATATTTTGGCATTCTATCTGACATATATTCTGGCATATATGTTGGCATTCTATCTGGCATTATATATGACATATATTCTGGCATTCTATCTGACATATATTCTGGCATATATTCTGGCATTCTATCTGGCATTATATCTGACATATATTTTGGCATTCTATCTGACATATATTCTGGCATATATGTTGGCATTCTATCTGGCATGATATCTGACATTCTATCTGACATTCTATCTGGCAGTCTATCTGGCATTCTTTCTGGCATTCTTTCTGGCATTCTATCTGGCATTCTATCTGGCATCCTATCTGACATTCTTTCTGGCATTCTATCTGGCATTCTTTCTGGCATTCTTTCTGGCATTCTATCTGGCATTCTATCTGGCATCCTATCTGACATTCTATCTGGCATTCTATCTGGCAGTCTATCTGACATTCCTACATGAGGTCCGGCAGGGAACACTTGGCGCGGATGGTCGCAGTTGAGGTCCGGCAGGGAACACTGGGCGCGGATGGTCGTGGTTGAGGTCCGGCAGGGAACACTGGGCGTGTATGGTCGTGATTGAGGTCCGGCAGGGAACACTGGGCGTGGATGGTCGTGGTTGAGGTCCGGCAGGGAACACTGGGCGTGGATGGTCGTGGTTGAGGTCCGGCAGGGAACACTGGGCGTGGATGGTCGTGGTTAAGGTCCGGCAGGGAACACTGGGCGTGGATGGTCGTGGTTGAGGTCCGACAGCGAACACTGTGGATCGCGAGTCGCAGTTGAGCAGGAGGACGAGGACGACGAGGACGACGAGGACGACGAGGAGGAGGAGGAGAGGAGGAGGAGGAGGAGCAGGAGGAGGAGCAGGAGGAGGAGCAGGAGGAGGCAACTGACATAAAATCTAACAACCCTCACCTGGCAGGTGGGGAAAAATTAAACCTAACTCAGTGTCCACCTGGTTTAATTTAGCTAGTGCATCCCGCATCCAAAATGTATGGAATGGAAACGAATGGAATCAGTGTGGAATGGATGATTCCAACAATATTCAAAACATGTACAAGGCGTCAACAAAGTTGGCACACAAGTTGTGAACGAGACCGCGCCAAGACCGTGTGCCATTCGTAGTCGTTGGTCAAAAGGATGATGCCTCGGTTTGACTTCGAGGAGCACAGCCCAAACAAAGTCTTGGCTCGGACCAAGTCTGGAAGTTGATTTGATTTCAGTCGAAGGAAACCTAACACCTTCCGTCTGTGCAGAACCATGGAAGATGCATTATATGCATTTATATTTATATATTGCATTGATGCAACAAGATAAAGTCAAAATCCCGGCAGCGGCGTGCGGGAAGTGAGGCACCTTTTTCTTTGGGCAAAAGAGCGCTCTGGGATGCGCATGGAATGTCTGCAAGACTGAATGCTGCAAAGGTGGAATGCTATGTCACTGCTGTTTCACATGCAGTTTCACACCCGTCCTCACCTGCAGCAGCGTTTTGCTTTTCAGCTTTTCTGCGTCTCCTTCCATCTCGGATCTTCTGTTTGGTTTCTTCGGCTTCGGCGCTTGGTTTCAGGCGCCATTTTCCAGTGGTCATCGCATCCAAAAGAGGTTCTCTTTCACATCCAGCTTTCGTCAAAACGTCGGCTAGCATCTGCGATGTGTCACACCAATGGCAGCGTACTGAACCATCATCTTCATAGCTGTCGCCGCCAAGAAACTCTTTCACCTGGCTGACAAGTATTTTCACTCGCTTATCAGCAGGCTGGCCAGCGTCCTTGTTCAAGGTGGCTTCCAAAGACTTCGCGTCCGTGAACGCGATCAGCAGGCCCTTCAGGTAAAACCTATCCAAGTCAACCATGGAAACGCCTGGATGCTTCACTTCCAGCAAGAGCATCCTCACATAGTCGGCGGCCTCGGTCGCGGTGAGGAACCCGTTTGTTTCTGCAGCCAAAGTGCTGCGACAAACACGCTTGATGCTTCCGCTGTAAGCCTCCAGTATCATCACCGGCGTGTCATAGCCGGAGGTGAAGTCGGCAGTGGTCAGACCAACCACATAGCCACATTGGCTTCGCAGCTTGGTCGTGTTTGCGAAACTGCTGTCAGCCATGCAAAACACCACGGCATTCTCCAGAGTGAGGTTGGAGCTTGGGACAAAGTTCCACTTGAAGTCATAGCTCTCCTTTAGAACCTTGACAACCTTATTAAGCTCCACGACATCCTTGATCGTCGGATTTCCCATTGTTTGGGATGCCAGGGAAACGTTCACAAGCACGTCAGGTCTGGTCTGACGGGCAATCCATCCAAGTGAACCAATCAGCCCTCTGAAGGCTGACTTCTCATCCTCATTCAACGGCGCATTCGGCATGACGCGCCTGTTCTTCTGCAAAACCATATATTCCAAACTCTCAATTGCGTCGATCTGGTCCAAAGAAACAGATCCATCTTGGTTTTGTTTCACATTCTTTCCACAAAAACGAAAATCACCAACTTTCCTCTTCAAATAAATCTCTTTCTCCAAAACTTTCAGGGACTCTTCATACTTCGTTCCGGTGCCAGTGGAATAAAGGTCATCCACGTGGGCTACGAGCGCACCGACCAAAACTTCAGAGTCAAAAAGGTAAAACAATGCAGCTTCCAATTTTGACATCACCCAGCCAAGTCGCTGGAGAGCTTTGAAAAGTTTCTTCCACCAGCTACGGCCAGCATCTCGCGTGCCGTAAATGCTGCCTTTCGCACGCAGCAAGTCATGTGGGGAAACTCCAGGAGGTGGTGGTCGAGGAGGACGGAGAAGCAGGAGACGTGCTATTCCTTGAGATTGGAGATATGCTGTGCTCGCATCATACGCTTCCAAAATCCACTGAAAAATAATCCCTTCCTCCTAATACTAAACCCCCCCCCCTAATACAAAACACGGCAAGTAGTTTTTAGTATTAGGGGGGTATTTATTATTAGGGAACCAAAATATTGCCAAAAATGGCAGTTCGAAGCTTACCCCTAATACTAAATTAAAACCCTTAATACTAAAAACTATTTTTTCCGATCTCAAAATCAATTAAATTTCCTTATATAACGCAATTAAAATATTGCCAAAAATGGCAGTTCGAAGCTTACCCCTAATACTAAATTAAAACCCTTAATACTAAAAACTATTTTTTCCGATCTCAAAATCAATTAAATTTCCTTATATAACGCAATTAAAATATTGCCAAAAATGGCAGTTCGAAGCTTACCCCTAATACTAAATTAAAACCCTTAATATAAAAACTATTTTTTCCGATCTCAAAATCAATTAAATTTCCTTATATAACGCAATTAAAATATTGCCAAAAATGGCAGTTCGAAGCTTACCCCTAATACTAAATTAAAACCCTTAATACTAAAAACTATTTTTTACGATCTCAAAATCAATTAAATTTCCTTATATAACGCAATTAAAATATTGCCAAAAATGGCAGTTCGAAGCTTACCCCTAATACTAAATTAAAACCCTTAATACTAAAAACTATTTTTTCCGATCTCAAAATCAATTAAATTTCCTTATATAACGCAATTAAAATATTGCCAAAAATGGCAGTTCGAAGCTTACCCCTAATTGCTAGAGTAGCCAGGCAGCTTGGAGTGAGGGATTGGGACTAGGCCCCCCTAATACTAAACACCCCGGGGTGAACTAGTTTTTAGTATTAGGGGGGAGAACCCACAAATGGTAGGTTGATTTTTAAATTGTTTTTTAAAGGGGATCAATTAAAAGTCAAATTGGCCAAACTGAAATTTTCGGAAATTGGAGATGGATGCCTGTTTTTAGTATTAGGGGGACGTTTAGTATTAGGAGGAAGGGATTAACTGACAAACAAGTCACAAAATTGAAGGCCAGGAGTGATGCAGTGGGAGAGTCAGATCTGATGCCAGTGTCCTTCTCCTGGCAGCCAATGACAACCATTCTGGATTTGGCTTCGAAGGGGTACTCCTTCTTGATCTGAGCTTCAGACTTCCCAGTGCGTCGCCGCATTGCACCAGCCATCAAGCGCGGCTTCTGGTTCTTGTCAGTGTGAACCCATCGCGTGTTCACAATCTCAGCGTCTTGAGGAAGAGCTGCGATCTGGCTTTCTGAGAGGATCTCCACAGCGCTAAACTTCTTGAAAGAGTTCCACTCCTTCTCCATGGACTGGTCAAACTTGGCACGGTCTTCTACTGAAAGGTAGTTGAGGTCGATCTCGGACCGAACTGCCTTGCCAGTCAGGAACGCTTCAAGCTTGGGATTCTCCTCGTAGCATGTGGAGTCATCAGACATGGAATCGTCAGTGTGCTCTGACGCATCAGCCAGACGTCGATGAGCAAGTCGGTCAGATAGATCTTCGCATCCAGCAGGCCAATCATTCTCTTGGACAGCTTCTCCAAGATAAGGCCCAGTGAAAACTCTGGCACCTCCACCTTGAGGACCATAGCTTGGTTCTGGTGCTGTTCGAGGTAGTCCATAGCTTCCGCCAGGATGCCCATCAAGTCGTTGTGGATTCCGCATCGCTTGGTGAAGCTGAGCAATGAAGGGAGCAACAGGAGCAGGTTGTTGAGGAAGTTGTTGATCCCTCGGGGTCTGCGGACCAGGATCAGGTTCTTGCTCGGTCACCTGTCTCATATGGCCAGCATGGCTTTGCTGCTGCTGCTGTTGTTGCAAAGGCACATCGCCCGTCCTTATCTCTTGCTCTGCATCTGGAGGCGGATCATCAAAAACTGTTGGTCGTTCTTCAGGAATCGCAGGCATTGCAGGTTGGGACACAAATTGTCCTGATGCAGGCCGGGCTGAGGAACTTGCCAAGGTCGTAGTTGGTGTTGTCCTGAAAATTGTTTCGCCAACCCATTTGGCCACAAGTTCGCGTCCAAGGTCTTGACGCCAGTTGTCGGTGATGGTGTCCGTGAGGACGTGATCACGCATCTCAGCCTCATAAATGGCCTCAGTCACTCGTTCATCTTGGAGTTGGTCAAGTGGTACTGGGCAAGCATCAGGAACATAAAGTGCTTTTCTGGGAACGTTGTGGACCCGAACAACTCGTCCATCTGGAAAAGTTCGCCAAAAATCGGCGTTGACACCACCCCCCTGCAGCTGAAGCATTGGTTGCTGAAGCTGGTTGCGGATGTCAACATAGTTGCGGGCTCCACGGTCGCTTCCCTGCTCCACGGCATAGTGGGGCACATAGTGAGCTGCCAAAAGCTCATCTTCACTTGCAAACCTCAATTGTTCACCAGAGGCCAAAATCACGCTGGGGCCATAGCGGAGCCAATAGCTGCTTGGGGCTGAGCCATCAGTGGCTGGATCGCCGTCTTCAGTGCGGCGTGGATTGCGAAGTTCAAGTCCAATGACTCTCGCAGGTCCATACCAGTTGTAAGGTCGGCCATCTTGTTGCCGTTGCTGAGGCTGGCGCCTGTAAAAGTACACGTAGGATCCAATGGGAAAAGGTCCACGTGTTGGTGTACTCTTTCTCAACAGTGCTCGCCTCACACGGCTATCTGAATCCAAACGAATTTGAGCCACTCGAGCAGCTTCACGAACGGCCAAAGTCTTTGCCATTTCACTGTGGGGGTTTTCAGCTGCTTCGAGAACTTCAAGTTGTTGGCTCTCATCTGAACTGAGAAGGCTGCCTGGAAGGCGGGTCTCAGGATGGCCAAGTACCCACTGGTTGGGCGAGTACCCATTGGTGCGTGGAAAGGCATTTCTGGTTTGCGTCACAATTGACGCAGCAGTGATTGCATCTGCAAGTGTTGAAACATCAACATCAACAACAGTCTTGGCCCAGACTTCTTTCCAAAGGCCACCAGCACGTTCGCACTTTCCATTCTGCCAAGGTGATTCAAGAGGAATCACTTGCTGCTCGACACCATACTGCTTCAGGTAGTCTGAGAACTGAGCCATGTACTCCTTGCCACGGTCAACTTGGAGAGAATGGGGAAGTCCAGCCCAAGATGACCATGAAGTCAAAAAGTGACGGAGCACAATGCCAGATGATGGCGTCCCAGTCAGTTCTCCAAGGCAAGAAACCACTTGAAACCCAGTTGCATCGCAAAGGATGTTGAGGAAGGCTAAACTTTTGCCTTGGCTGTTCTTGGCATAGAAGGTGTCGGCAAGGATGTGCTGGTTGAACACATAGGCCGATGGCATTCTCACAGGCTTGGGACGTTTCTGCCGGATCGATTCACCACAAGCGTCACAGGCCATAAGTCCAGCGGCTCGGACGACTTCCGGCTTTGCCCCCTGACGTCGCAGGATTCTCTGCATTGTTGTTGAGGTTGGATGTCCAAAATTGACATGCAAGGTCCTGAGCAACTTGCGAATCTCAGGATCCACTTGAAGCCATTGATGTCGGCGATCAGCTTCTGTCTGGTTGAGGATTGGGTCCAGTGCTGCAGCTTGTTGAGCTCGAAAAGATGAGTCATCATCTGGAGGTAGATCACCAAGTTCGCCAACTGGTTGAGGTGCTTCAGCTCCTTGTGGTCGCACATAAACTGGCGGAGCTGGACTTGAGATCGTTGCCATTCGACCCTGTCTGCGGCGCTTGGGAGATCTCCCAGAGAGACCGCTCGCAGGACGGCGCTGAGCATCACCAGCATAGATCTCATCAGCGAGGTGCTCCTCAATGGCGGCTTGTTGTATGATGCAATCCAAAACCATCTGATTGAGCTCGAAAGGCCATGCTGCAGCTTGAGTGGTTCTGGGGCCAAACTCATTGTTGCCCTCAAGTGGTTGATGTTCATGGCTATGATCACATCGGCATGTTGCAAAAACGCTCTCAGCACACAACATTGATGTGATGTAAAAGGAAGGCTTCTTGTTGGGCAGTCCGGTGACGGAATCTTTGTAGCCAACCATGCAGCCGTCAACCACGATGAACAGCAAAGTGCCGTCCTCAACCAACTTTCTAACATCTGCCATTTCAGGTTCATCAAGGACTTGTGACCCCAGAGGTTGTTCCATGAAGATGTGCCTGTTGGCACGGAGTCTATCCTTGATGGTCTTGTTAACAACTTTCAGCAAGGGACGACCATCTTCTCGCAGTTGAAGGACGGTGACAGAAGCGCTGCCACCCTTGGAGATGTTGAACCTCGACCAATTCCCCCATGGACCGCACGGTTGCGTCAGCACAGTGCAAAAGGGATCTTCCTGTTGGAAGTCTTGGTGAAGCTGACGCCTTCCAGCAGGAGTCAAAGCGTCCCAGCCGTCCAAGGAGATGTCGCGAGGGATACCAAAAACCATACCATGGAAAACTGCCAAAATGGTCAAACCCATCTGTCCAGCAAAAACTTGTTTGAGCCATGTTTTTCCGGTTGGAGGCTTTCTGGCAGCCTTTGAGGCTTGCTGCATCCTGAGCTGATTGGAAACCAAAGCATCCATCCCGCAAAGTGCGGTGTCCATCGCAGCAATCTTTTTGGCTTTTCGGCTGCTGGGCTTTCGAACTGAAAAGAAACCCTTTTCAACCTCTTCCAGAAAAGCATCTGTGCTCTCACAGTGAAAACCTTCATGATGCTGATTCATGACCCTTTCTAACTCAGCTTCATCGATGCCAAAAACGACATCCCAGGCATCTTGTGACTCGCGCCTGGTGTCCGGATCAAATCCATCGTCGTGGCTGAGGGCATCACTTGACGGCGAGACCGGCTCAAGTCCAGGAGCCAAATCCAAGGTCTCGGAGGCTTGCTCAAGTCCAAGAGCAGGAAATCCAATAGCCTCAGAGGCCGGCTCAAATCCAGGCGCCAAGTCCAAGGCCTCAGTTTCTGCCGCATTGACATCAAACTCATCATATCCTTTGACCAGCTCGTCAAAAACTGACATGGTGTTCAAATCAAAGTCCAAAAGAGAGATGGCTAAATGGCCACGGCTGGTTCTCTTCAAGGGAAGATCTCTGATGTTGAGCTTGGAAAAAGAAACTGTCCCCTCGCCAAGGTTGATGATTGTGCCGAGGGCTTGCATGAAAGGACGTGAAATCAGCATTGGTGTTTTTCCTGGTGTTTCTGCTGAGTGGAGCTCGCCATTGACTCCACCAAGTCCAACAGGGTAGGCCTTGACGACCTTGGACTCAGCATATCCTCCAATCCCCTTGAACAGCTGGGTCTTGTTTCGGATTGAAGGTTGAAGTCCAAGTTCAGCGAGCTTCTCTTCATAGGCTTTGGCCCATTCTTCGCCGTGCATGGTGCGGTTGCACCCAGAGTCCAGTATGGCAAGACCAGGTGGGTCTGCAGGCTGCACGGCATAGGCCTCATAGTTGAGGTCTTCATCAACCATCATCACTTCGCACTCATGAACCTTGAGAGAGCTCGGATCATAGTAATCCAGCTGCAGGGGAACCTTGATGGTCCGGCTTGTCAACATGTCCTCAGGGCTGAAAGGACGTTTGCCAGCAGGTAGGACCTGACCAGTTCCACTGAGCTTGACACCAGCTTGCCAGGCAATTTGCAACCGAACATACAAGTACGAAGCAAGCCTAAAAACAGGTGGTGACATGGGCTCAAGGTTGAGTGCGATGTGCATCACTTGCTTGCAGTAGGGCTCGGACTCAAAGTTGGTGGCTATGTCCACAAACTTGTAGCCACGAAATGGTCCTTCAGGCATCACAGTGTCGTCACCTGGCAAGGGCTGCAAAACATCCAAATCCTCAGGCTTCAGCTCCGGAAACGGCGGCAAGTCGACGCCTGGAGCGAGCAGCACGCCAAAGAGCCAGCATTGGGTCTCAGGCGACCTCACAATGGTTGCTGTCTTCCGAGCTGGAAGTCGTGGCACATCTGGATAGCCACGTTGGCCTAACTGACTGGAGTCAGCTTCAGATGGAATCACACTCCATCCAGGGCTGCCAGGGGACGCAACATGGCCAAGAGCCTTCTGCTTGTCTTTGTCCTCCAGCATCTTTGTGAGTCCGCTGGAGCAGATCCGGTAAATCAAAGTCGATCTGAGCTTGCTGCCAAACTTCGTGCACAAAGCCACCTGCACGAGGTATGACCACATTTGGATAGCTTCGCGGCGACGGCCACAAATCACAGTCTTGTCACATTGCTTGCAGGTCAAATGGCGAGTGTGGCCATTCGCGCCACGGTGGATTTGCTTCTCATCTCCGCCGCAGTAGCTCAGATGCTCGCAGTGCTGGGTCTCTTTCAAGACCATGAAACATTCCGCATGAAAACTTGTATCGGTGAAACTTTTGCTGTCATCGGCAAGTCTTGGTCCATCAGGCACAGCAGGGCCTTTCTTCTCTGTCGCAGTGCATTGGTTCTGAGATCCATCAACCTTGTACTCGTTGGAGTCAGGGACCAGGGCATTCACATGAACTGCAGTGGCGTCAGGGGCTTTGGCATTCTCAAAAACCATGTCATTCTTTGGAACTGCGGAGGGCTTGAAAACTTTGGCATTCTTTGGAGGGATGTCATACCCAGGGGCTGCGTCAATCACAAGGGCTGCATTGGGCTCAGAGTTGGAGTGCACAGGTCGCAGCTTTCCAAAGGATGCAAAACGAACTTCGTTCTCATCTGCAGATTCCAAACTATCGTGCAAAACAAACATGGCATGAGAGGCTTTCTTCGGAGATCCTGACTTCTTCGGTTTCTGACCCTTTCCCTTCCCCTTCGGCTTGAAATTGGGGCATTCTTGATCTCCAACCCAGTGACCTCGTTGGTTGCAAGAGGTGCAGGTTGACATGCTCTTCAGAAACTTGATGGCGTTCTTCCGGTTCTCCTTGGCCTTGGTGTCGAACTGGATGTCGCCATGAGCTTTGAACGGATAGCTATGGCTGCTGCCACTGGACTGTGGCTTCTTCTTCCCAGAACCCTTCTTCTTGGCTCTGAACTGAGCCACAGTTGCAAAGGCTTCCGCAACATGCGGATCATCCAGCGATCCACCACATTCTTGAATCAAAGCATCAAGGCCATCGTCGTCGCTGTAGGCGAGGTAGCTGTCATCTGCTTCATCGTCCTCGGCCTCAGCGTCATCATCTTCGTAATATCCATCGCCATCATATTCAGGCTCATCATCTTCGGCCTGATCATCAGCCAGGAAGGCATGTTGCTTGAACCTGCCCTGACCGACCTTCCACTGGGCCGATTTCATAGCGCCATGTTGACCACCTCCACGTGCACATCCTAGATAGTCACGTCGAAACACTGGCTTGCCACTGATCTGAGGAAACTGGATCCTCAGCGCATGGGAGACCTTCTTGAAGTCGTACTCGTTTCCAACAGAAGCCAAAACTCCTAGCTGTTCACGTTGATCCAATCCGCTGAAAGTCAGCAGCATCATGCACCTCAGGTTGTCACTGACGGTGGTCTCTTGGGAGGACTCCTTGAGACGAGCAAAGTCCTGTTCCCTTCTGATGATATACTGCTGCATGCTTTCTTGCGGTTTTCTCCAGACATCAGCGCTGTAGAAGGCAGTGAAGAAGAGCTCGTTGATCTTCACTGGCGTCTCAGCTGCTATGCTCTCTTTGAGAGTCTGAATCAACAACTTCATTCCCGCTTCAGTGGCTTTTCCTTCAGCAGTCGCAGTTCGGAGCTTTGAGTGCTCCAGCTTTCTGACAGCCTCGTATGCATGGCCTGTAAGGCCTGAGCGAAGGTGGATCGGAGTGGACACCTGGGATTCCTGACCTTCTCTTCCAAAGTACAAGTCCCAGGCACGCCCTACATATTCTTCAAAAGCTTCCACTTCGCCAGCATACTGAGGAACTCCGTATCGATCGCAAATGATCTTGGAGGCAGTAGAGGAAGTCATGGGAGGTTGTAGACACCTTCAATGGTGAAGTTCCAACCAGTAGTAGGAGGCTGGTGCCGCAGGGCTGCCAGCAGGTCGCACAACGAGCGCAAGGGGCTGGAACCTTAGGCACCAGCTAGCAGAGGCCCTGAGTGAACAGGGCTCCGCTTACCATCAAAATCCCGGCATCGGCGTGCGGGAAGTGAGGCACCTTTTTCTTTGGGCAAAAGAGCGCTCTGGGATGCGCATGGAATGTCTGCAAGACTGAATGCTGCAAAGGTGGAATGCTATGTCACTGCTGTTTCACATGCAGTTTCACATAAAGCAACTCGGAAGGTGTGGGAATGTGTGGGAAAGAGAGTGGCGGACCTGTGGAATTTCTCTCCAACCGTCCAATTGGCCTTGGATTTTCCGGTCCACCGAAGTTGAAGGGGACAAGATGCGACACGGATTTTGAAAGCAAACATCAATCTGTTGAAACTTGAAACATCTTGAAACATCTTGAAACTGTTGAAAACAATTTTGAAACAAAGCAACTGGGCATGCGACACCAAACGTCTTGCACGTGCGAAGGGCACCAAATCTGCGACCGTCTTGCGGCCAGCTGGATCCTAGCAAACTGGCTCCGGACAGATCGTGAGATGTTGGTAGAGTATCAAAATTATCAAAGAGAATGTGCAAATATGTGCAACCTCTTGGCAAAGGTCCAGTCATGTATCCAGTCTCTCAAGATCTCTCAAGTTGAACAGCCGACACCTTCCCGCTCCCGCCTCCAAGGTTGACAGTATATCCTGGCAAAAAATGGCAAAACCACAGCCCTGCAATATATAAAATTGCCAACGGCTTCGGATATGTTGCATCGCCTTTGAAATGCCTTTGGGACTGGACAGGTTTGGACAGCCGTCGGTGCCTTGGGTTTGTTGAGCATGACCCAAACCAATTCATCGAGGGTTCGGAGGTTCTGCACCTGAAAGGGAAGCTGGGACTGGGAAAGATCCGTGTGAAACATCTGCCAAGTCGTGCCTTCCCGTCAACGGCAACTGTATCCTGCCAACTCATGTGAGCGTGCGAGCACCGTGCTATCATGGTTCATTACTTCTGAGCTGAGCGGTTTTTGAATGCTTCTCTCTGCGATGCAAAAGGCCGTGTCCTTCTTTGGGTCAATCTTCAAGACTGGATCCTGTTTTCATTAGACCCAGCCACAGGCGGACGCCTCTGTTACTTCAAGAATCCTTCTCCAAAGATGTCATACAATGTCATACAATTATCTGCAAACCACAACAGCACGTTCCTGGATGACATCACCGTTCACGGTAATTCGACCTGCACACGTGCTTTATGTGCTTTGCTTCCAACCATTATCTCAGATCATCTCAGCACTTTACCACGACAAACTTTCAGCGAAATGCACCGAATGGTGGTCGTGTGGAGCCTTGCAGCACAAGTTCCTTGACTCTGCGCCGCGAGCAAACTCCCGAGTGGGACAAAAATTTTGAGATCCAGACCTGGTGACTGAAACAGTGACAAGATGTGACAAGAGACTTGGCAACCATATGCAACCATTGTGCACGATTCATCAAAAACGCTAAGGTTCTGTTCCAAATGGCCAACCAAATAGGGGCCGTGGGTTCCCGATGTAAACGAAAGCCAAATTCACATATGCACGGTAGCTTTTTGATTTTTTCTGTCAAATAAAAGAACATCTGGAAAGTTGTTTTCACCTCATCATTGCCAATGGCGGCCATCTTTCCGGACATTGCTTCTGTTCGAAGATCATCCTGGGCGTCGCGATGATGTGCCATGGCATCCCTGGCATCATCATGGCATCTATAGCATCCCTCACATTGGTAGACTGGCACGAGATGGCACGAGATGGCACGAGTGCACTGCGGCCTTCTGTGCGTCCTTCCAATCAAAGCGCGGTCTTTTATACCTCTATAGAGATTCCAACGCTTGTTGCGACTCTCTGACAGCTATGGACAGTGGACAGCTTGTGCTTGTCTCAGACTGTCCCAGAAAATCCATGCTAAGTCCGAGTAAGCTACACCATCAGCATTAGAGAAGTTGAGTTCAGCACATGGTCCGCAAGCGTGATGCATCCTTGTCGATGTCCTGTCGTTTTGAAATCACGTGAAACAAAATATGCAAAATGAAAGCCGGATCAAATCTGCTCAAAATACCGCATGTCATGTGGGCCATGTGTATCATTGGCATATCATTGGCATATCATTGGCAGGCCATGGTTTCGTTGGACATGTTTGGCAAGAACGTCCTGGACTTCATCAACCACCTCTCCAACGGCCCATCGCTTCTTCTTCGGGCCGCTCTTTCTCGGGTCCTCAAGGCGCTCAAGGGACCAGTGCCGGACACAACGAGTGACGACTGAGCTCTAAATATTGTTAATTGTATCAGGTCAGTCTGTCAGTTCTGTCAGTTTGTTTCAAAGTTTGAAAGCGAAAGCGGTGTCCAGTACCCACTTCTTTCCGTATGCAGGATCTTTCTTCAGTTCTTGGTTGGCAGCCAACCATTCTGCTTTGCCCCTGCAGGAAGGATTCAGTGCCATTCATGCCGCCTGTCCCAAACCGGTCAAGTGACGACACATGGCGATCAGCGATCGGCGATCGGCATCATTCTAGGGCCGACCTTCTTTTCTTTGGGAAGTTGTCTGGCTCCTGTGATATCAAAGTGCAGCCTGAATCCCAAATGAAACTAACGTATCTAATTACTCTCAAATAGAGGCCCTAGACCCCCAGAACGACCTAGGAAAAGGTATCCGAGGAACACTGCTTGCAGGAGCAATTTCTGTTGCATGGCAACAGGAGAATGAGTCTAATGATGTCCAATGAATCTATAAATCCTACAGAAACCATTTTTCGCTGATCCTCCTGGTCTGTTTGCTCATCTTCTGGAAAGTCTGCTACCCGCATATTCGGCCTCAACAAGTCAGTGTTGGAGGGTCTCCACGATTGATCTTTCGTCTGATTGGCACTAAGATGTCTGATGTCCAGAGCCCCTGAGATCTTCGCCGATAGACTTGCTGAAAGAGCCTCTCTCCTGGCTCCAAATCCTCGGCCCTCGGTGTCCTTGCAGAGGTATCTGAGATTCTGAAATTCGAATACTCAATAAATCATAACAAATCATAATAAATCATATAATCATATAATCATATAATCATATCCGCCGACCCCGGCAGACGCAAGGGGGAGCGCGCCAGGGAATAAGACATTGCGACTACTACTATACTACTGCAGCTACAGTAGATAGAAACAGCAGCAGCAGCAGTAGCAGCAGCAGCAGCACAACAACCACAACAACAACAACGACAACAACAACAACAACAACAACAAGAACAAGAACAAGAACAAGAACAACAACAACAACAACAAGAACAAGAACAACAACAACAACAACAACAACAACAATGACCCTTTGCCGGGGGACCCTGTTGGGTCCCCCTCCCACCGGTCACGTACGTCGATTCATTGACTCCGGGGTTTTTGTTTTACCGGTGGGGGGTCCTTCCCGGAGTCTCCTCGAGGTACGTGGGGCTCCTTGGGTTGCCCTTCCCGCTCTGATTTGTTCGTTCGAGGCCGCATCCTCGAGGTTCTATGTCTCATTGTACAAACAGTGGTATCCGCCGACCCCGGCAGACGCAAGGGGGAGTGCGTAAGGGAAAAAGAGTTTATGACACAGCTGCCAGGAAAGAATAATAATAATTCGCTGACCCCGGCCGATGCAAGGGGGAGCGACAACAACAACCATGTGCCACCTCTGCTGTGCTCTCGATAGTCCATAAGCTTCAGGGTTAGGCTGCAATTTTCTTAGATCAAGTCGTGTCTTTGGTACCGGAGCATACTACTTGCCAACATTTTGTTCCACATCTTTTCCCGTTTCGTTTTTTGTGCGCTACCCGTATGCGGCCAAAGCGTTTCGTGCTTTGCACTTCCGTTAAACATGCTGGACACTGATGTGTGAAAAAGCTCTGAATCACTGTGCCACCGCGAACACGGAAGCGGACACCACAATGCTGTTGTTTCGCATCAACTTGTCCATCAGTGACAGTACTACGGACCTGTGTCTCACAATGAGGACATATATATTCATAGACCGGCTTTCTCTGCGAGATAGTGGGCCCTGCTGTATTTTCAACGCATTTTTCAACAGGAATCGTGGTGCGACTACGTTTCCGAGCCATTGCTTCCCATGTCTCCTGGATAATTTGCCTGTGGCGCAATCTTTTCCGGAGAGGTTCGAGGCGAGCTGCACTGGAAGCAGCTGCGCGCTTGCGGACTGCACGCTGCACCTTCGCAGCGTGGCATGTGTTGCATGTCTGCGTTCCATCCTCCTTTCTAGAGGGCCGCCGGGAAATAAAGCTAGAAAAGTGGTGCCGCGACTAGGATTTCAGACGACACGTTAGGGAGTTTTTTGGCGTGGTTCTGGACCTTGCTCGTCCTTCCGAGCGATGGTGTTTTGCTGCCGGGAGCTGCTTTTTTCGAAGCTGTTTTACCGGCATCAGCAGCAGCAGCCGCCGCCACCAGTTCTGCGAGCAGCCGCAGGCAACAGAATCTGTCGACAAATGCTGTTTTTCTAGATTTCCAGACGACACGTTAGGGAGTTTTTTTTCGCGTGGTTTTGGATCTTGCTCGTCCTTCCGAGCCATGGTGTTTTGCTGCCGGGAGCTGCTTTTTTCGAAGCTGTTTTACCGGCATCAGCAGCAGCAGCCGCCGCCACCAGTTCTGCGAGCAGCCGCAGGCAACAGAATCTGTCGACAAATGCTGTTTTTCTAGATTTCCAGACGACACATTAGGGAGTTTTTTCGCGTGGTTTTGGACCTTGCTCGTCCTTCCGAGCCATGGTGTTTTGCTGCCGTGAGCTGCTTTTTTCGAAGCTGTTTTACCGGCATCAGCAGCAGCAGCCGCCGCCACCAGTTCTGCGAGCAGCCGCAGGCAACGCAGGCAACAGAATCTTTCGACCTTGC